GGAAAATACCCAAACAAAGCTGAATGCCATACATACATACATACATACATACATACATACATACATATATTTGAGATTACCATCACTATGGCAAGGGCCTTTAAAAACAGACTGGACAGTCATTTGTCTGAAATGGTATAGGACAGTGGTCCCCAATCTTTTGGGCATCAGGAATCTGGAGACAAGTTTTCCAGGACTGGAGAAGACATAGTTTAATGTGCTGCCTGCATCCTGTGGATGGGGCTTTGCTTGTTTGCATGGTTTCCTGGTATGCCATGCCCCCTGCCGGTCCACAAACCAGGGGTTGGGGATCCCTGGTGTAGGTAGGGATGGGCTGCTAGCTTGTGCTAGTGTAATTCTCGCTGCCGTGATAATATGCATAATCAAGATCTTTGGGGGGTATTTTCCCTTAATGATCCCCAGGAAAAACAATTCAGGCTTCAATTCTATTCGACAGTAGGTGATTTCATTTAACCATTTTTGTATTTTGATCCAGTATTTTTTAATTTCCGGGCATAGCCACCAGACATGGAAAAAGGTACCTTGCACTTGTTTACATTTTCAGCAATTTGGGTTTAAGTTGTCAACCCTCTTTTCCAAGCAGGAAACCTGATACCATTCCAGACAAAAGATTTTCCAATCTCTTCTTAAAAAACTCCAGTGTTGGAGCACTCACAACTTCTGAAGCAAGCCATTCCACTGATGAATTATTCCCATCGTCAGGAAATTTCTCCTTAGTTCTAGATTGGATCTCTCTTTGATTATGTTCCATCTCTTACTTCTTGTTTTGCCCTCAGGCGCTTTGAAGAATAGATTGTCCCCTCTTCTTTGTGACAGACTCTCCGATATCTGTTTAGAGTCTCAGTCATCCAGTTGTCCCAAAAGTGCTTTTTCAAAAGGCACCTGGATGTTGTTTTTCCTTGAAGATGTTTTGCTTCTCATCCAAGAAGTTCAAACAGTTCAGAATGGAAGAAACATCTTTGGTGAGAAGTGAAATGCCTTCAAGGAAAAATTAAAAATCCAGTTGCCTTTGGGAAAAGCATATTTGGGACAGAATCGCGAATATTGGAAGACTGCTTTCATATCACTCCGGGTCCTTCTCTTTGTTACTTGAATCTTACTTTAACCCTTCTCAGCATCTTCAGCTGAGAAGCACCTTCTTTTTAGAGATGGAAGGCAGAGTACTTGAAGTTCAGGGAAAACAGAGAAGGGACCTGAACAGTTTCTTCTCCTGTTCCTTCCCCATCACAGAGCACCTGCAATTTGGCAGATCAAACCTCACTAGGCTCCACGTTGACTCAGCCTTCCGTCTTTCCGAGGTGGATAAAATGAGGAGCCAGATTGTTGGGAGCAAGAGGCTGACTCTAAACCGCTTAGAGAGGGCTGGAAAACACTGTGAAGTGATATATAAGTCTGAGTGCTATAGGTACTTTCCTTCCTTCCTTCCTTCCTTCCTTCCTTCCTTCCTTCCTTCCTTCCTTCCTTCCTTCCTTCCTTCCTTCCTCCCTCCCTCCCTCCCTCCCTCCCTCCCATTCCCGCTACCCATCGATCAATCCATCCATCCATCCATACCAGCTCAAGGTTGACTCAGCCTTCCATCCTTCCAAGGTGGGTAAAATGA